GGTCTCCCCTCCGAGAGCAAAGCTCAACGGCAGCCCCCTCGCTGGCGGCCCCGGGGCCCGGGGCCCGGAAGCAGTCCCCAGCGAGCTGGCGACATCCCAAGTGCTCACACACGGAGCGCCCAGCCTCGCCGCATTCCTCATTCTCTCCTGGAGTCCGCCAGGGCAGTCTGCCCAACTGACGGAAGTTGACTGTTCAGGGGAGAATGTTCCAGGCAAGGGCCGGAGGCGGGGAAGGACCCAGCCGAGTGGAGAAACTGAGGCCCATGGGAGGCACGTAGGGGAGAGGCCATGGAGTCCGCAGGGCCGATAACGTGGGGCCATGCAGCATTCCGCAGCATTCTCCTTGAAGTTAATCCTACATACGAAGGGATGTGGCTGGGCAGGGTCTAGTGGGGGAGGGCCGGGGGTCACTGGGTCACTGGGGTGTCCCACGGGGTTTTAGGGACACCACTTTTGTGGCCATGTGAAGACTAGATTGGAGGGGCTGCCACAGGCTCAGTAACAGCCCTCAGAGGTATCAGGATTTAGTCCTTAGAAACTGTGAATGTGACCTTATCTAGATGTGGGCTGGGTGTGGTGCCTCACACCTATAATCCCAGTACTTTGGGAAGCTGAGGAGAGAGGACTGCTTGAGCCCAGGAGTTCAAGACCAGCCTGGGCAACATAGTGAGACTTTGTCTCTAGAAAAAAAATTAAAAAAACCTAGCTGGGCATGATGGCACACATCTGTAGTCCTATCAGGAGGCTGAGGTGGGAGGCTCGCCAGAGCCCAGGAGGTTGAAACTACGGTAAGCCATGATCGTGCCAATGCACTATATTCTGGGCAACAGAGTGAGACTCCTACTCAACAACAAAAAGAAAAAAGGTCTTTGCAGTTGTGATTAGGTTAAGGATCTTGAGATGAGGCAACTATCCAGGTGGGTCCAAGATGCCATCACACATATCCACATAAGAAAGGGAAACAGAGGGAGATTTGACACACACAGGAGGAGGCCGTGTGACCATGGAGGCAGAGGCTGGAGTGATGAGGCTACAAGCCAAGGAAGGCCGGAGCCACCAGAAGCTGTAAGAGGCGAGAAACAGAGTCTCCCTTAGAGCCCAAAGAGGGAGACTGCCCACACTGTATTTTGACCCAGTGACACGAATTTTGGATGTCTGGCCACCAAAACTATGAGAAAATACATTTCTGTTGTTTTAGGCCATCAAGTCTGTGGTATCTTGTTGCAGCGGCCACCACGGGAACTACAGGGGCCAAGGGTGATGGGCAGGCCCCTCAGGCAGAGAAGGGAGTCATGGGAAGATGCTGGGAGAGGAAGGGCACAAGGGGGACGGGATGATCCCAGGTCTCTGCCTGAGCAAGTAGTCCCCGTGGCCACTGTGTCTGGGAAGGCTGCCAATCAAACTGCCTTCACGCCTCAGACCCCTCCCCCGTGTTTGCAGTCCAAGCACACGCTGCCTTGCCCAGTTAAGAGCCCCTTCATAGGGGCTGCAATGCCTAACTCTTTCAGCAGGAACCCTCTCCTCAGTGAGCTCTCACCTGGAGGGGTGGGCTCCTCCCTTGGAGCTCTGAGCAGGGTGCACACCCTGGACAGGGTGGCTGTGAAGTCCCTCAAAGCCCTTAACCTTCCCCAAGCCCACTGACCACCACCACCCACTGCTTCCCTGACAGCCCTGTGGGGTGACTGTCAGCACCTCCAGGTGACATTGGCCCAGAGGAAAGAAGCCCTTCCTACATGGCCTCCCAGAGGACTTTTAGGGGCAGTGGACACCCAAATTCTTAGGCGGATGCCAATGGGCACAATGCTGCCTCTCCCCTCCATACGCCTCAGAGCTCAGTGAGGCATCCTCAGCTGAGGCTTGATTTTCCTCCACCCAGCAGGGCTCTGGCCAGGTCCCGCCCTTGATACCGGCCAGGCTTGCAGTGGGTTGCTTGCCGGCTGCTGGCCAGGAACCCCGGTGGTCCTCCATTTTGCCCTTGGCCCTTGCTGACCTGCTGGGGAGCAACAGTGGCTTGCAGCTAAGCTGTGCTGAGGGGCCTTGAGTCAGTCAGGGCCCAGCTGGCCCTCAAGCTCCCATATGGAGGTGCTAAGGGGTGAGAGGCCTTTCCTGGGGCTTTCTCCAGGCATCTGTCCCTGGGCTCTCCCTGCAGGCCTTGTGTTCTGGCCCTGCCTGCCTACCTGACATCTCTCCACTTCCCCTTGCTCACCCCTTACTGGCCACACCAACACCCTGGCTACTCCTAACATGCTAAGCGCAGGCTCTCCTGAGGGCTGTTCCCTGTGCCTGGAACATTCTTTTCCCAGATAGTTCCATGGCAGCTGCTTACCTCTGCTCCAGTCTCTGCTCAAATGTCAGCTTTGTCAGAGGCTCCCACAGGTAAAGGCATCAAGTAGCTGACTGATAAAAGCTACCCATTGTCATGATGACTGTTTTAAGATGTTTGGTTCCCCCTGCCGTAACCTCATTTCCTACCTTGAATGTCACAGTATGTCACTTTCCCATCTGACAAGAGCCTTTTCTTGGCTCTATCTGACACAAAGACTTTTAACAGGGCACAGAGTAAAACACAGCCTCATGCTGCTACAACAGTGGCCCAGGGACCCAGCACCTCCCCAGGACCTGTTTCTACGTGTCCCCAGTTGGTGGAACAGCTTGAAGAACTGAGGAGGTGACCAGGCACATACTGAGGGGTGAAATGTGGCATCCATTCCTCCAGTAGCTCAAAAGGCAGGGTTAGGGGTTACAGGTAGAAACTCACCTTGTAAACTTCTGTAGTTTAGATGTGGATTCTGGGACAAACATGGGGATGGTCCTTTTGTGCCTGAAACAAACATTTCACAGAGGTGCTGAGTAACAGACAAGTGATGGACCCTTCTGAGCTCCAGGGAGAAGCAAGCAGAAACATTCACAGATCAGGTGGGTGTGGCTTCACCACGGGCCGAGTCAAGGTGAATGCCATCAAATCCAGCAGGTGCTGACTGAGCACTGCTGTGCCCAGGTGAGGTGCCGAGTGCCACGAGACAGTGGTGAACACCATAGGCCGGGGCCCAGCCTCCCAGAGGTCAGTCTGTGAGGGTCTTATTCTTTTCAGGGGCCCACTCCCTCCTCACCTCACCGGTGCTTGACCAACAGCATGAGCCTCGCCACCCACTGGAGAGGGCCTCTTTCTAGATATGGGCTGCATGTCCCACCCTCCACGCTGAGCTGCCCAGGCCGGTGGAGACCCCAGAGCATTCCCAGCCTGAACCCAAGACATAAGTCGAGGTGGTTTGTCCAAGGAAAAGCCACGCCGAGGGTGCCCCGGTCACAAGGGAGCATGGCCCAGCAAGGGACAGGCTGTGGCTCAGGGACCAGGTCAGAGCGAGGACCTACCGGCCGGGTGAGAAGGGCACATGCACTGCCCCATAGCCTCGAACCACGTCGTTCCCAAACACGTCTGGTCCATACACACTAAGCACGATCTGTGGCCCTTGGGAAGGACAAGGCAGGGTGTTGGTATATGAGGAAACATGGGGAAGGTGCCAGGCAGAGAACAGGGCATGTTCAGCTGAGTGGGGGGATGGCCCTCAAAGCCCTGGGGTGGTGGGCTCAAGGGACAGCAGCGGCAGATGTGGGAACCCTGTGCCAAGGAGTTCTGCCCACCCTGGTACTTCCTGTATCTCCACTAATGTCCTAGAATAGGGTCCACACTCTCCACACCCCTTCTCACTCCTGGGAACACAGGAAGTGCCTCTGGAGGTACTAGGCACTAGGCACTGGGCCCAGCTGTGACTGGAGCAGACAAGAGCCCACCCTCCTGCCCTCTGGAAGCGTCCTTTCTGATGGAGGTGGTCACACTCAAGCACGCACTGCATGGGTTCCTGGAGATGGGTGGGGGGAGCATTTTGGGGGCATCTAAGAAAAGTCAGAGAGAAAGCAAAGACCTTCTGAGATTTTTCTTTAAAATATTAACATCACACCTGTTTCATGTTAGCACTGAGGCGCACTAGGTGCTCTTACCTTGTCGGTCTCTCTGTCCTTTTGCAGGGGAAAGATCATTGCCCAGTTGACAGGCAGATGGTGAGGCCCAGGGAGGTCCTAGAGTCAGCCTGCCATGCTCTGATCCCGTGGCCACTGCTGAGTGACCTCACGCAGATTACCTATCCTCTCTGCCCCTGTTTCCCCATCTCTAAAACACTTAAAACAGTGCCTAATGCATAGTGAGTGCTCAGTAAATGTTAGGGAGAGGCTTGTGCCCTTCCCATCATTACTTCTACCAAGATAACCCACCAAGGTAACCTTCCAAGTGTTACAAAACCACCTCTTTACCTTTTAAGGCTTCATCACCAAATAATGCATCCCAACCATGGTACTTGGGTTTCACCCATTTTTTGAACTTTATATAAAAGGAATAATACAATATATACGTGTATGTGTGTGTGTGTGTGTGTGTGTGTGTGTGTGTGTGTGTGTGTGTGTGTTTTGGAGGGGGGAGTCAAGGTCTTACTCTGTACCCAGACTGGAGTGCAGTTGCACAACCATGGCTCTCTGCATCCTTAATCCCTTGGGCTCAGGTGATTCTTCTGCCTCAGCCTCTCAAGTAGCTGAGACTACAGGTGCATGCCACCATGCCCAGCTGATTTTTTGTAGAGAAGAGGTCTATGTTGCCCAGTCTGGTCTTGAGCTCCTGGGCTCAAGCAATTCTCCTGCCTTGGCCTCTCAAAGTACTGGGTTTATAGGCATGAGCTACCATGTCTGGCCTCTTTTAATGTTTATGGATGAACAGAAGCCCTTATTTTTAATACAATCAACTTCACTGAACTTCTCCTTTAAGGACTCTTCTTGGAAAATCTTCCCTTACCCCGATATTGTGGCTGTAGTCCTCCATGCTGCCTTCCTGAAGCTTTCTTTTGCCCTTCACATTTGGACTTACATATCCATCTGAAATTTACTTGTGTATGCAGCCAGGCTTCTTTTTTTTCTATGTGTATCCAATTGTCCCAGCACCATTTACTGAAAAGACCTCTTTTCCTTCCTACTCTGCAGTGCCACCTTTGTCATGAATCAACTGTCTACATGCTCCTAGGTCTTGGGGGTCTCTATGGATCTGTCTCCTTGAGTCAAAACCACATTGTCTTTATTGTCCTTTATTACTAAAGCTTGGTATCTGGTACAACAAGTTATACTTTAATATTACTATAAAGAACATATTTTTAAGATATCATTTTCTATATATCACAAACAGTAACTGCTTTCTGTATATTGATCTTATATCCAGCAATCACGCCAATCTATTAATCCTAATAATTTATCTGTAGATTATTTTGAAATTCTATATAATCATTTCATCTGTGAATACTGTTTTGTTCCTCCTTTCTAATTCTTGTTTCCTTTTTGAGTTAGAGTCTCACTGTGTCGCCCAGGCTGGAGTGCAGTGGCATGTTCACAGCCACCACAGGGCTTGGCCAGGCGCAGTGGGTCATGCCTATAATCGCAGCACTTTGAGAGGCAGAGGCGAGAGGATTGCCTAGTTCAAGACTAGCCTAGGCAACTTGGTGAGACTTCGTCTCTACAATGAATTAAACAACTAGCCAGTCATGGTGGCATGCGCTGGGCTCCGGCAATCCTTCCGCTTCAGCCTTTCAAGTAGTCGAAACTGCAGGGGCAGGCAACCACGCCTGGCTAATTTTTATTTACCTTTGATTTATTGTAGAGATGAGGTCTCGCCAAGTTGCCCAGGCTGGTCTCAAACCCATGGGCTCAGGCAATCCTTTCACCTAGGCCTCCCAAAGTGTTGGGATTACAGGCTGAGCCACCAAGCCTGGCCCTTTTCTAATTCTTAAACCCTTTATTTGTACAGTGCTGGTGGTGATAACAAGTATCCTGATCTCAGAGGGAAATCTTCCAACATCTCACCAGTAAAAGTGATATTTGCTCTAATCATTTCATAGATAACCCTTATCAGATTAAGGTCATTTCTTTCTTTTCCTAGCTTACTAGGTGTTTACCATAAATGGATGTTGAATTTTATGTTTTCTTCATTTATGAAGAAATGTAATGCATTACAATGGCTGACTTTAGTTGTTATACAAGCTTTGTTGGAGGATAAAACCTCCTTCTCATGATATTATTTTTATATCTTGCTAGATTCAGTTTCTGAATATTTTGTTAGATTCAGTTTCCTTTTTTTTTTTTGAGTTGAAGTCTCACTCATCACCCAGGCTAGAGTGCAGTGGCACACTCACAGCCACCCCAGCATCAACCTGCTGGGCTTCAGTGATCTTTCCACCTCAGCCTTCTAAGTAGCCAGAACTACAGGTGTGTGCTATCACGCCCAGCTAATATTTTTTCTTTAATTGTAGAGACAAGGTCTCGCCAAGTTGCCCAGGCTGGTCTTGAACCCACAGGCTCAGGCAACTCATTCGCCTCAGCCTTCCAAAGTGCTGGGATTATAGTAGACTGAGCTACCGAACCTGGCCGAGTTTTTTTGTGAGTTGGAATTTTACTCTGTCACCCAGACTGGAGTGCAGGGGCACACTCACGGCCACTGCAGCCTCGACCTGCTGGGCTCAAGGGATCCTTCCACTTCAGCCTTCCAGGTAGCTGGAACTACAGGCGCATGCCACCATGACTGGCTAATTGTTTAATTCATTGTAGAGACGAGGTCTCACCAAGTTGCCTAGGCTAGTCTTGAACCCCTGAGCTCAGGCAATCCTCTCGCCTCTGCCTCTCAAAGTGCTGCGATTATAGGCATGACCCACTGCGCCTGGCCAAGTTCCTTCTTTTTAATGTCCTCAGCAGGCTTTGGCATCAAAACTACGTGACCTAACAAAAACAAGGTGGAGAACATTTAATCTTTTTTATTCTAAAATGTAAGCCTGGCGTTACTTCTTTCTTAAATATCTGGTGGAATTCACTGATGACGATATCTGGATTTGGAGTTTTCTTTGTAAGAAAATTTTAAATTACAGATTCAATTTAATAGACATAGGGTACACAGATTCTCTTTTTGTGCAGCTTTGGTAGTTATATTTTTTCAGGAATTTGAACATTTCATCTAAGTTGCCAGATGTGTAACAATGGCTGTTCTTTAATGCCTTATCTTTGTATTGCCTGCAAGAGCCACAACATGTCCCTCTTTTCATTTCTGCCATTTCTGTTTTTTCTCTTTTCTCCTTGATCGTCTCAACCCAGGTTTTTCACTTTTAAAAATGAACTTTTGTGTTTTTTCATCTCCTCTACTGTAAAGGTGCTTTCTGTTTAATCAATTCCTGTAATTTCTCATTCTTCTACTTTCTTTGGATTTAATTTGCTGTTCTTTTATCTGATGATACTTAGATCATTAATTTTTCAGCCTATCTTTTCTAACATATGCATTTAAAACTACAAAATTTTCCTCTAACCATGACTTAAAATGCCCCCTGCAAATTTAAATAGCTAAGTATTTTCACCATCATTCAATTCAAAAGTCCATTATTATTTATTCTTTGACACAGGAGTTGTTTTTAGAAGTGATTTTCTTATTTTTCAAACATATGGAGATTTTCTCACTATACTTGCTATTGGTACCTATCTTAATTTTATCAGGGTCAAAGAAAATACTCTACTCTCCCAGAAAGTTAAAGGAGTTTTTCCATGAACCCTGGAGTACTCACCACCTAGATTACCATACTTGCTTCATCACCTCTCTCCACGCCTCAATTTATCCTACTTGTGAGAAATTTCAAAATAAGTTGCAGACAAGTGTATACTTTCCCTAAAACATTTCACTATGCCTATTATTAGAGCTCAATTTTTTTGAGATAAAATGTATACATAATGAAACACACAAATCTTAACAGATTTTGACAAATGCATATAATTGTGTAACCCAAATCCAACTGCTTTAAAGTATTCTTTCTTTTTTCTTAATAATTAAACTTAAGACCGGGCTCAGTGGCTCAGCTTGTAATCCCAGCACTTTGGGAGGCTGAGGCGAGTGGACTGTCTGAGCCCAGGGGTTCAAGACCAGCCTGGGCAACTTGGAGAGACCTCGTCTTTATAATAAATCAAAAATCAGTTGGGTGTGGTAGTGCACGCATGTAGTTCTGGCTACTTGGAAGGCTGAAACGGAGGCATTGCCGGAGCTCGGCAAGCTGACGCTGGGGTGGCCGTGAGTGTGCCACTGCACTCCAGCCTGGGTGACAGAATGAGACTCCAACTCAAATAAATAAGTAAAAATAATTAAACTTAATTAGTAACTTTATTGATTATTTGTAATAATAATAAAAACTCCATTCTTGCCTTCTGATACCATTCTCAGACTGTGGTAGCCTCTTTATTTATTTATTATTTTAGGGTTGTGGGGTACATGTGAGGAGCTGTTACATAAGTAAATTGCATGAAGGTGAGGTTTGGGCCTCTAGCCAGCCCTCTCTCCCGCTAAAAGATTCTCTTTGGCTTTTAAATGTTTTATTATTATGCAGCTAGGTGTGGATTTCTTACATTTATTCTGCTTGAGGTTTGTCTTCTTGAATCTGTGTCTTGATATCTCTCATCATTTTTGAAGCTATTTATCACTTCCAATATTGTCTGTGCCTTGTTCTCTCTCCACCCTTTCTAGGATTCCAATAACATATGGAAAATTTCCTATATCCTGTCTCTTACTCTTTCATCTGCATTGTAGGTATTTTCCTTAGACCCAGCTTTCAGTATACACTTATTTATTCAGTTGTGTCTAATCTGCTGAGTGCCTACTTTTGGTGATCCTATCTTTCAGTTCTAGAATTTCTATTAGGACCTTTTACAAATGTGTCAGGCCTTCTAGTTCTCTGCCATAATTCTCAATAGTTTGTTTTATCTCTTTTGATCACGGTAGGAATGTGTCTGGCAATTTCAGTAGCTGGAGATTCTGTTTCTCTCTAGTGCCTCACTTTTGCAGGTTGCCATTAATGCTGTCTTGATTCCTGTGTTCTTCTTACTTATCATATGCCAGACATTATATGTGGACTAAAACATGGAAATAATTTGAGGTCTATGAGATGACATCTTTCTCCAGAGAGGTTTCTTATTTGCTTTTGCCAGTTTTGCATTTCAGTTTCCTTATATGGAAGAAGAAATGGAGAGAAATCTGTCCACTAGATAGGATCAGGAAGCTTGGATAAGTCCACACAGGGAAAGAATTCACAGTCCCCATGGAGCTCATCCTTAGGTTTTGCACACAGTAAGCATTTAATAAGTGAAAGTGAACAATTAGAGGGGTTAATAACCACTAGACAAGGTGGGAAGTAAATACTGCCAGCCCAAGGAAGCCCTTTGTAGGATGTGGGAAGAGTATTCGGGCAGAGGGAATAGCATGAACAAAGACTCAGGAGAGGAACTTGAGGGACTAGCACAGGAGGAGCAAGTGTTACTCTGGCTGGAGCACAAAACACATGGGATATTGAGAGACACGGGGCGAGATCTCCAGGTCAGATGGCTGCAGCCCTGCACACCAGACTCAGGATTCTACCCATCACAGGTGTGGCGAGCAGCAAAGGTGTCAGATTGGGGTCTGACCCGATTCACTCTGAATTTCCAGAGGGCCAGCTGCACAGCAGGTAGAAGATGACTGGGACGAAGTGGGCCGAGGAAGAAGTGGGAAGGGGGCAGGTGGTGGCAGAGAACATCAAAGGCCAGGGCAAGAGCCCAGGTATCGGGCAGTGACCATGTGAATACGGGCAGCGCTGGACGGGATGAGGCAGAGGCTGTCCTGGGGGTGCTCTGTGAAAGCTCTTCTGCTCCCCACCCCGTAGGGCCCCTGCAGACTCACAGCCATAGGGGTTGGTGCTTTTAAAGGTGACATCGATGGGAAAGTTCCAAACCAGCGCCTGCCGTACGTCTTGGCTCTTGGATGTGATCTGCGAGATCCCCTCCTCCAGACCCTGTGGGGACAACAACAGAGACAGCTGGTGTCTAAGTGCCAGGCTGCCACGCCTCCTTCTCCTTGTATGGAGCAGGCAGTTGGGAGGACTGTTTTTTTCAACTCTTCTCCCAAGACACTAACTTCCAAACAAAGGGAACTAGGAGATGACAGAGCACCTCTCAGGTCTGGTACCTGAATGTACTATCTTGTCAGAGTGTGACAACCTGGGAGGCCAGCCACTCTCCTGGCCATGGGGTTAGATCTCATCCCCTCTTGCCCCACTGAAGGAAACGGCCCCAGCAATGCTTACACTTGCCTGCATCACCACTCACCTAGAGCATTCCCATCGGTACGCACGCATATGTTTTCTCTAACAGAAACGATCCTCTCCCATCTCTACTTCCTACTTCACCTACCAACTTGTTCTTTGCTTCCCTTCACAGAAAAACTCCTTGAGAGAGTTGCCACACTCCCTGGCTCCAACTCCTCCCCTGCTATTCTTTTTTTTTTTTTTTTTGAGTTGGAGTCTCACTCTGTCACCCAGACTGGAGTGCAGTGGCCGCTCCCGGCCACCGGCGATCCTTCCACCTCAGCCTTCCGAGTAGCTGGAACTTCAGGAGCGCGCTACCACACCCGGCTCATTTTGATTTATTGTAGAGATGAGGTCTTGCCAAGTTGCCTAGGCGGGTCTCAAACCCGCAGGCTCAGGCAATCCACTCACTTCAGCCTCCCAAAGGCATGGGATTACAGGCTGAGCCACCGAGCCTGACTCCTCCTCTGCTATTCTTTCGTGAACCCGCTCCAGTCTGACTGCTGGCTCCACTACTCCACTAAAGGGTTTTTTCAAAAAAACAGTGATCTTGATACTGCTTTAGCCAATGGTCATTTCCCTGTCTCCATTTTACTTGACCCATCCGCAGCCTTTCACACAGATGATCGCTTCTGGAAGTTGATCTGCTTCCCGATACTTTCTTCCCTTGGTTTCTGGGTCTTTCTACCTCATAGGATGGCTCCTGCTCAGTCACTGTTGCTGGTTCCTTCTCAGCGTCAGGGTCCCAAGGCTCTGTCTTTGGCCAGTTTCTAACCATGTACTTGGTGATCTCATCAATCTTGTGACTTTCACTGTGGTCCAGATGTCAGTGATTCCAAGTATATGTCTCCAGCCTCGTCCTCGCCTTAGAGCTCCAGATCAGCAGTGCTCCATCTCCCACTGCCACTCCGCATCTCGACCGGATGGCGAGAGGCATCTCAGCCTGGACCCACTCCAGGCTGAGCTCTGAGTGGTTCTCCCAAACCTGATTTGTCCATAGTCTTCTCAATGAACTGCAGTTCTCTACTTCCAAGTGCTCAGGCAAGAAACCTCGGTGTGATTCTTAACTCCTCTTTCTCTCATACCCCATATATGTCCGACAGCAAAACCTGTTGGCTCTGTCTTCAAAGTGTACTTGAGATTCAACCACTTTTGCCACCCCACAACTGCCACCTCCTCTCCCCATCTGTTGCTGTCAGAGCCAAATGGTCTTCCTGCCCTTGCTCCCACACAGTCTATGCTTACAGACAGCAGGGGGATCTTTTTAAAACCTGAGCTAGTTCACTTTCTCCTCTGTTCAAAACTCTCCAGTGGGGTCCCATCTTCCCCTGAGTAAAGGTCATGGTTCTTGCTCTGACCTTCCAAGCTCTACGAGATCTGCCCCTGTGCCTCCCTACCTCACCTCCAGCCACTCATTTTTGGCTCACTCTGTTCACTGGCCACACTAACTTCCTTGCTGTTCCTCAAACATGCCAGGCACACTCTTGCCTCGGGACCTTTGCACTCCCTGTTCCTTCTGCCTGGGAAGTTCTACAGGTTCCCATATGCTCCCTTACTTCCTTCAGGTTTTTACTCAAAAGTTACCTTCTGAGTGAAACCTCCCCTGGTTACCTTATCTAGATTCCAACCTCCCTTTTACCCTTCACACCTCTCAATTCCTGACTTCATTTTCCCTCTCAGTGCTGCTTCTTAGCTCATGTACTACCATATGTACTGTTTAGTATGTCTCTCCCCACAGGAATGTATACTCCAAGAAGACAGGGACTTTTCTCTGGCTTCATTCACTATCCCCAATGCCCAGAAGACTCTCAATCAACAGTTATCCAATGAATGGGTAAAGGGAAAATAGGTATTATAATTTCAGTTGTACAAAGGAGGAAACTGAGGCATAGAGAGATTAAATAAGCTGAGCTTCCATTTCTTCAACTGATGTGAGGATTATACAAGCTCTTTGCAAACAGAAAAGTGTGGTGCCAGCTGAAGTCTTCACCCTAGTCCCTCTCCTGGTAGAGACTATCCCTGGACCAGACCCTCACCATGTGGCCTCTCCTCAGCTGGTGGGGAGGGTCTGGAGAGCCCTTTGGCTGAGGAGAGGCCGGGTGAGGGGCTGGTCCGGAGTATCTAAAACTCAGTCACTTGCAGGCTGACCTGCGGGGGTCTGCCTGCCACATACAAGCTCACAGAACAGGGTATGTGAGTGCGCACAGTCTTTGGGTATCAGTCAAGGAGCCCAACCATGGTTGTGCTCTCCATTCCAGCTTTTTCAGGAATAATCTCATGTTTGGGTTCTCTCTGAACTTGGTGTCTAATGGTTTTGAATGGGGAGGGGAAGGGTGTGATGGGCACCTTCAGAAACCCCATCAGGCATGAAGGCCTTGAGTAAGGGAAGCCCGGGTCCAGCTTACCGCCGTGGGGGCCCAGTCCTGGCCGTACACAAAGCAGTACTTGCAGTAGAGGTCATCATATTCTGGAAACTGGAAAAAAACACACACGGATTCCATTTACTGGTACTCATGCAGAGGCCAATGTGTTTGCTAGGAGAGTCCTGGACCTCAGCTCGAGCTCTGCCTTCTGTCTGATGTGCCCTTCCTATTTATTCACCTGAAAAACTCCTGCTCATCCTTTAAAACATTCCTTTCAGGGAGCCAGCCCTAACTCCCAGGCTGGTTTAAGGCTGCCTTTTGGTTCCTTTTAGTCCTTGTGCTTCCGCCATCAAAGCCCTGATTACCTGTGTCTAGGTCTGTCAACCCCACTAGACTGTGAACAGGAAACAAGGTGGATGCCTTTCTCTGTCCCCAGCACCTGGCACAGAGGTGGGCACAGATGAGGTCTAAGGGTATGGTGCTGAAGTGAAAGGTCTAAGAACTCAGGAAGCTATCAGGACACAGAGCATATGCGTGGCTGGAGCCGAGGGCCTGAACAGAGGAAGGGGACCAGAGCAGAGGAAGAAGGAACAGTGTGTGTGTGTGTGCATGCATGCGCTTGTGTGTGTCAGGAGTTGGGGGGGGATGGGTATGCTAAGAGCACAGACACATGTGACTCAGCCCAGCTAAGAGCCCTTAATAAGACAGAACAAGAGAAGGGGGAAAGACAGTCTCAGGCTCTAGGCCAAGGCAGAAGTGGGGACGTAATAGAAGCATGGGACAGTATCCCTGATTAAGAGGAAGGCAGCCAACATGTACTTCAGTTAATCCTCACAATAATATAATAGTAAAAAACACCATCTCCAACAGCTTGGAAGGACAGTGTAGCAAACTTTTTTGGCCAGACATCCCTGTGTTCAATTCCCAGCTAGGCCACTTCCTTGGGTAAATTTTCCCAGCGGTAAAATGGGGATATTAGTAATACCTCCCTCACGAGGTTATTGTAAGGATTGACTAAGCGGTGCTGAGCACCGAGTTTGGCACACAGTGAGGACTTGGTGAACGTTGGTTTTTATTTATTCATACTAAGTGGCTGTCAAAAGAGTGTAGGGAAATGAAGAGTAGCGCCCCTGTGGCATGACGGGCACACCCTCCCGGGATCATTCCAGGCCACCATCATCGTTGGGTCACACTAACCAAAGCATCCCGATTCTAACCCAAGTTCAAGGATCTGCGGCTCAGAGCGCGGGGCACTCACCGCGGACGAGACGCGGCGCAGATGCCCGAAACCCGGCCAAGCCTCGTCTCCTACCGTGACTCTCCAAGAGGCCTCTGCCCGTGACTCAACCGAGCGGACACTCTCCGTGCCAGGGCCCGCAGGCTTGGCCGCGCGTGACCTCGGTACTAGCTCAGCCTCCCGAGGCTTCTTTCCGCTCCCGCACACCCGGGATCAGGATGCCCAGCAACCTCGCGCCAAACCTCTCCAAGGCTGGCTCCCCTCCCCCGCCTAACCGGGACGCTCGGAGGAGCGACACGGCCCTCCGGGGACCGCAGCAGCCCCGAGGGTTGCGGGCAGGGTCCCCGGGCGACACTGGGGAGCGGGGCCCCGGCGGCCGCTCACCTGGGCGCTCTCCACCTGCCCGTTGACCATGAGCAGAAACACGGTCGGGCTCGCGGCCGCCATGGCAGGGCTCGGGGTTCGGAAGACCCACCCAGGCCGCTGGCGCGGTTGCTAAGAGGCACCGGGGTTGCCCTAGAAACAGACGGCGTGGCGCGCGGGACACGTGCCCCGGCGGCGGCGCCTTCGCGAAGGCCGCAGTACGCGTGCGTGCGGCGAGGCGCAGGCGCAGTCGGCGGGCGCCCCCGGGAGGGGCGGGGCTTGTGGGGGAGGAGCCCGGAGGGGCGGGGCTCCACGGCCCCACCCCTGTCTGGGTAAACTTGGATTGTCCACGCAGAGTGTTGACCCGTCGTGTAGAACCCAGCCCTACCACGCGGCACAATGACACGCTTAGGTAGTGTGTGTTCACTCGGACAGAGCCCTGCTCCTCCTCGAAGTGCGGAGGCAGAAAAGAGCGGGGTCACAGAGGGAAATGCCCCGGACTCAAGCCCGCCAGAAGTCAATTGTCAAAATACCCTTGGCCACTAGATGTCGTCGTGGCTCTTCTGGGAGGACGGCGGAGGGATGCGCGGAGCCTCCGAGGGAGGCTGGGTGCTCAGAGGGGTATCCCTGGCTGGCGCCAAGCAGCTCCCTGCATCTGGTGAAGGGGATGCGCCCTTATGGCTTTTGAGAGCCTCGCCCTCGAAAAAGTTTATTAAACACACTTGGGAAGGTCCTCAAGAATCCTTACATCCAAGCTGCCTGCCGCTCCTCAATGTGAAGCTGGAGAAACTGAGGCTCATGGAAGGGCAGCACCTGGCACCACAGTCAGCCAGCACTCAGGGAAGTTGCTGGCCAGAACCCACGGATCTGTCAGGCCCTATTCAAGTGACAATTTCTCCCTGGCCAACTCGAGTAGGTCACAGCTTCCCCCCCCCGCGAGTTGGAGTCTCACTCTGTCTCCCAGGCTGCAGTGCCACCCTCACGGCCACCCCAGCGTCGACCTGCTAGGCTCTGGCGAGCCTTCTGTCTCAGCCTTCCAAGTAGCCATAACTACATGCATGTGCTACCACGCCCAGCTAATTTTTGATTTATTGTAGAGACAAGGTCTCACCAAGTTGCTCAGGCTGGTCTCAAACCTGTGGGCTCAGGCAATCCACTTGCCTTGGCCTCCCAAAGTGCTGGGATTACAGGCTGAGCCACCGAGCCCGGCCCACAGCTTCTATTAACACATAAATCCAGTTCTTCTTACTGCCCGCCATGGTTTGTAGTTGCACGTTTATTATTGTCATAATTTAGGCTAATGCTTGCCTCCCTCACTGGTCTGATGCTTCATGAATCAGGGACCACATGAGTCTTGTATACTCATGGCCTGGCACACAGTAAGCGCTGGGTAACTACTAACTTGTTGAATGAATGAATGAATGAATAAACTTATCTCCATTTTACAGCGGAGGAAACAGAGACTTGGACAACAAAGGTGACTTGAACACAACCGCAGCAGCAGGTAAACAGCTGAATTAGGGATCCACAGGCTGATAACCCTCACTGCTTCCTCTGTCTTGTCTTGGGCCAGGCCCAAGGGCGCCTGTTGACTGAGGTGTCAAAGGAGACATGGGGGACCTTATCTTTGATCCAGGAAATGAAGGGATGCACTGGTGTGTAGACTTCAGGAAGGTCAGGCCCCGAGCAGGAACCCCAGGCCATCACACCCTCCAGCAACCACCTGCCAGCTTGGGGGCAGACTAGGGGAGTCCCAGCCACCTGTGTAAGAGAGAGAAGGAGGAAGGAGTGGTCACAGCCTTGCTTGGACCTATTGAAACCCCACCCCCAGGTGAATAAAGGTATTTGATCAAGGGTGGGGGACTGTGAGCAACCAGGGTTCACACATCTGACGGGAGAGGCCTGATGGGTTGGGGCAGCCCTTGGAGCACAGGACAAGGTCTATCTACCTCCCCAGGGACTTGGTCATAATCCCTTCCTCCACACTCCCCCCCATCTCTTTCCAGTTAAGATGCTTTCTCCCACAAATTCTACCACTGTCACCTAGTTCCTCCCTGTGGGCTTTGAGGCTCAGTATTGCACAAAAGTTAGTTGAAAATGCTGGCAATTTCAAGTAATTGGGGGCTCCCAGTAGTTGAAGCCCTGGCTATGTTAAAGGATGCCCCACATTCAAACAGGATGTGATGAGAGCTCTCCAAGGGGTAGGAAATTTTAGGGTGACCTCAGGTGTGCAAATAAACCTGATCCCTGGGTATTGGGGAATGGGAGACCCCAGGGGAGAGGGGAGAAGGATGACCAGGCCTAACTTTACCAAGTCTAGTGGCATTAGAAGGGACTTTGGAGGTTGGAGTCTCAGGGACTTGCGTAGGGCCTACTGGAATCCTTATCACCAGTTCAGGTGGGCCGGCAGGGGGCCTGGTGCACCGGGAGCCCTCGGGCAGGCTGTCCTTCAGGTCAGGACAGTCAGGTTGGAGGAGAAAGTCGTCTCTGCAGGTGCTGACGTGCAGTGGTCTCAGCTGGGGTGCAGCTCATGGGGTGAGTTGTAAGGATCTGCACAGAGTGGGGTCGCAGACCCGCAGCTCAGCTGACAACCAGCAGGTTTGTACCGGCTGTGTTGGTTGTTAACATATTGCTAAGCTTCCCTGCCTGTGCCAAGTCTCCCGCCCCCGACCCTCCTCATTCCTACCTCACTCTCAGTACAACTCCATCCTCTGCTGGACTCTCACACTGTCCCCTTCCCCTTGAAGAGGGAAGCTTCATGCCCAGGGGGTCTAGGACATACTGGAACCCAGAAAGGGGTGGGGAGGGGGCAGGCGAGGCCCAGCGTCAGCCATCTGGGCAGGGGTGGGGCTGGAAACTGACTCAAGCACAGCAGGGTGCCAGTGCGCCCCACCCTCTGGTTTGGCAGAGCTCCTGCAGAGGCCCGAGCTCCACTCTGACTGCCCCTTCCCCCAGCCTCTCAACCATCCCTGGCTTCTGCTCCCACACTTACTGAAGCCGGATTCAAACCCTTGGGCCCAGCAGAGCTGCCATGGGGGCAGGAAAGCTTGGGGCTGGGTGGCCAGGGTGACAGGCCGCACAGCACAAGTGAGGGGTGGAGGCCTGGTCAGTCGTGCCAGGGCCAGGCCGCCAAACCCAGAGTCCTTGGGCCCTCCCGAGGACAGGAGCAGCTCCTCCACACCAGACTTGATCTCACAGGTGTCCAGCCACAGTCGATCTGGACCCAGGGTCTCGTGGAAGTGGGACAGAGGCCAACTGTGGGGGAGGGAGGTGGAGGTAGAGAGGCTGGGAGGCCTCCCTCCTGGAGTCCCTCTCCATCACTCTCCCAGCTCTGTACCCACCTGCCAAAGCAGTTGGCGCCCGTGAGAACCCACTCTTGGGAGATGAGGGCCTCCTCGCCGTGGTACCAGCCATTCAGAAAGATGCTGGCCTGCCAAGGCCACTTGACTGGGCCCTTTGTGCTGGAGGCCTCTGCTGGCCCAGGCCTTGCACCTTGGGAAAATGAAGCCCCAGAGCTCAGTGCCGGGTCCCAGAGCCCTACAGCTCCCTCCCTCTCTTTCCACCCAACCCCTGCTGCCCTTGGCAGCTCCTCTCCCACCCCCTTGCCCCTCCAGCTTGAGAGCAGACTCCCGCAGTGGAATTGTGGGACTCAGGGAAGGTCACTGCCTCCCAGAGTCGCAGTTTCCCCATCACATCCAGAGGTGGTTGTGAGGATTAAATGTGACAATGAACATACCAAAGTGCCAAACACGTGTTGCCATTCTTATTACTAGAGTCGTTCTTGGGATGCTCGTGCCTTTTCAAGTCTCCGGGTTTGCACATGCCATTCCCTCTGCCTACTAATCATCCCCAACCTTCTCCACCTAGAGAACTCCTATTCAGCCCTCAGAGCTCACCTTCCTTGAATTCCCCTCTCCATGATCCCACAGTCTGCTCCCTTCCAACCCAGAAACTCATTGTAGATGGTATCCAGTTCTGTTTGCTTTTCTCTCCAGACAGGGAGCTCACTCATCACTAAGACAGCTGCGCCTTCTTCAGGGGAGCCCTCCATCTGCCCTGTCCTGGTAATCAGGGTCCATCCTCAGCACTTTCTTTCTTTCTTTTTTTTTTTTTTTGAGTTGGAGTCTCACTCTGTCGCCCAGGCTGGAGTGCAGTGGCACGCTCACGGCCACTGCAGCCTCAACCTGCTGGGCTCAGGTGATCTTTCCACCTTAGCCTTCCAAGTAGCTGGAACCACAGGCACATGCCACCACGCCCGGCTCATTTTTTGATTTATTGTAGAGGTGAGGTCTCACCAAGTTCCCCAGGCTGGCCTTGAACCCATGGACTCAGGCAGTCCTCTCACCTCGGCCTCCCAGAGTGCTGGGATTATACTCAGCCCTTTCAAAGGATCCGCCTGACCCACATGGAGCTCCTCCCCACAGCTGCCTGTTACCTTCTCTGTCCTGGACCCATGTTCCCATTGCTCAGACCCTGCTGGTTTTAAGTGAACCCAGACGCACAGTGCTGGGGATGGGCAGCCCCTTCTCCCACAGCTCCCCTTCCTCTCTCCTCCCCAGGCCCCTTCCCACAGCCCTTTACCAAGCAGCAGCAGCAGTGGCAACATCTGGAGAGTGGGCCCTGGGTCTCTTTTCCAGCTGGGTCTGGGCTCCTCTCTGTCAGCCCAGGAAATTTAACCTCACCAGTGCCCGCTCCCTGCTGCCCCACAAGGCTCATGTCACCGGGCAAAGGGGAACCAGCCTGGGGAAGTGGAAACTGCCGTGGCAGGGCCTGGGGTACCTGCTAGGGGACAGGCGTCCCGCTCACAGACCCCAGCCCTCGTGGGTTCCGGGGCTCCTCTTCCCAGGATCTTGTCCTGACTGCTGGGGCGGGGGGATGCTTTGCTGAGCCCTGCTCTGTCTCCTTTCTCAGAGGAGAGGGAGCGAGTGTGGCCAGCTGAGATGAACAGCAGCAGTGATCCATATGCCCTCTCTCCATCCCGCATGACACTCTGAGCTCCGCTGCCCAGGCTCCTCACAGTGATTCCAGAAGACCAGTGCTCCTGGCCCCCTGTCACAGATGGGGAAGTTGAGGCTGAGAGAGAGGGAGTGACTTCCCAAGACTACAGTGAGTCGGAAGCGAAATGAGGACTTCGAACCAGGGTTCCTGTGACTCCAAAGCTACAGATCGCCCCTCTCAGATCTTCAGTGGGGGGGACACATTGCTTGGAATGCCTGGCGCCAGCCAGGCACATGGCTGAATTTCACAAGTG